AACAGAGACATCTTAGACAACTCTTAAGAATAAAATGGTTCCATCATGTCTCAAACGTATCGGTCCTTGAAAAAGCTAACTGCGAGAGTATTGAAGTCATGATTACAAAGTCCCGCTTAAGATGGGCTGGTCACGTATGCAGAATGCAAGAAAACCGCATACCAAAATCGCTGCTTTACGGTGAGCTTGTAGACGGTAAGAGGAGGCCGGGTGGACAACTCAAAAGGTTCAAGGATATTTTCCACGAAAACTTAAACAAGCAGAATGAGTGGGAAGAGGCATCTTACAATAGAACGGAATGGAGAAGAATTGTAAAGTCAGTTAAGAGCGACAACCAAAAAGTAAAGAGGCAACAAAGCAATGAGATTTTTGAATGTCTGGAGTGTGCTAGACAGATAACACACGTATCGGGCTTTTCAGTCACAGAAAAGCTCATGAAAGAAAACGCCTTGCGTGACCATCTTCTGATGCGGGTCAAATACTCGTCAGCGAGTAATGGCGGTATGTATGTATGTATGTATGTATGTATAGAACACCCATTCATTTTACAGTAGATTATGTATCTTGTCTTTTATAGTGAGACAATTTTTTTTGTGTAAAAAAATAGAAACCCTATATTTTTATATTTTAAACACAAATTTACATGGAGACATCAACAGTCAATTGAACTCGAAACCTTTTTAGAAATATTTTATTTTTTTTTGTTTATATTCAAAAAAAATCAATAATTATAAAAAAGCTTGATTAATTATTTAATAATATAGAAAACATATTGTACCTACATTTCTATTGGTTGTATAGCCTTGTCTGAAAAATCAAAATGTCATTTATTCATGAAGATGCCCGAGCTGTATAAAAGCGTTTACTTTTACTTTTTCTATCATAACAGTTCTACTCAAAAGGTCAACAAAACAGCATCCTCATTAATTATTACTGATAAATTATCAATTTAGATACATATTTTTTGCATTTCATGTTGAAACATCTTATTTTTAATACCTGCAGTGTGATTTCTAAACAATTAAAAAATTTGGAATGATATTTTTAGTATAACTTTGTCCCGTTATAAAATACAATAGCTACAATACAGGTTGTTACGTTTTGAAGAATATTCAGAAATTATTATTTCAAGGAATTTATTACGAGTAGAAAAAATATTGTGCTGGGTTGGCGTTGGTTTCTATGTAATTTGACAAATGAATAAAGCTGTCTCTTTAGTTGTCAGTTTTGAGTCAATATTTTTTAATTCTCTTTCGTGTCGATTGCTGATTGAATCGGAGCCAGAAATGGCTCAAAACGAAATAAGTAAATTACGAACAGAAAGATATTCAGGCTGAGGCGACAAACGTCATATCCAAACTCCAAACTGCTTCCATTTAAATCCCAAATAACTTATAAAAAGGAATACAAACATTTTCAAAAATGGAGACAATTAAAAAACGTGCGAGAAGAAATACAGTTTTAAACCTATCCTCGCTGTTAAAGTATCATTTAATCTACCCTTAGTAACCTCGGGCCATTATTGTTCATCAGTATTTAACATCCTTATAATCCTTTGAAACATAAATAACGATACTATAAAAGATTCTCATACAATTCAAGTTTTATTGCATTGCATCTAAATGAATAAAATTTTATTTTCAATGAGATACCACAACATAAAGAGCTTGACCTTTTATTAAAACAAACCTATAAACATATAGAATAAATTTTTTATAAGATATAGGTATCTTATTAGTCGATGTCAACCGGGTTCGAGATCAATGTAGATCAAGATCACTGACCATAGCCGACCAGCCCACCAAATCCACCTTGACTGAATTTTTTCGAATTGGACCAAAATCTCATGCCGGCTTGCCACCCAACTCGCCAGACTTGAGCTCGTGCGATCCCATGATATGTAATGTCGATGGTAATTTGTAGGTTAGATGATTGAATGACCTTATGGTTAAAGAGGCGCAGTTAATTTGTGACAACTACACGAAAAATTATCATGGGGATCGTCAAGGATTTTGCCTAGTGTAACTTTCTCAAAGAAAATCTTATTACTTTTCTCTCTCTATGCGTTAGTTTGAATTAATAAATTTATCTATAGTTTACTAGAATATTTTTTACAGACGGCATCAACATTTTCGGCATTTATTCATTTTTTCTTGAATTGGAGAACTCTTCATCAGTTACAATCAGGGTGCAATGATTTAAATCAACGGATTTTTTTATTTTTTTTCCCATAGCAACTGTTAAAATTGCCTTATATCTATCAAAAATAGTAGATAAAATAGTAAAAACTGTATTTCTTCTCGCACGTTTTTTAATTGGTTCCTTTTTTGAAAATTTCTGTATTCCTTTTCATTCAGTTATTCGGGATTGAAATGGAAGTAGTTTGGATATGGCGTTTGTCGCCTCAGCCTGAATATTTGTTGGTAATTTACTTATTTCGTTTTGAGCCATTCATCACAACATTTTAATGAACAGTGCTTTCCATATAATCAATAAAATCAAAAATATACGAAGTAATATACATGTACTGATTTCTTTCGAAAATCGACATCTATGAAACTATGAACCCTTCCTGGACACAAACGGTACATTGTGAGACAGGAAATTGTAGAGAGGAATAAGCCCTATAACATAGGATACAATATTTTAATGAACAGTGCTTTCCATATAATCAATAAAATCAAAAATATACGAAATAATATACATGTACTGATTTCTTTCGAAAATCGACATCTATGAAACTATGAACCCTTCCTGGACACAAACGATACATTGTGAGACAGGAAATTGTAGAGAGAAACAAGCCCTGTAACATACGATACAATATTTTAATGAACAGTGCTTTCCATATAATCAATAAAATCAAAAATATACGAAATAATGACGAACATATTCAGAATGTCATTTTCTATCGAATAATCTAAAAAAATACCGAGGATGCCATTTAAAAATCAAAAGTTGTAGTCATTTCCGGTAAATCAGGAAGCGACCAAAAACAATTGAATACGTCAATCAATCCTAATTTATGTCATATACTAACATACTAAATCTGGCTTTTTTATCTGAAAAAATAAAAAAGTTATAGGGGCTGAGCCACTTTTGAGTACAAAAGTATTTTTTTAATTTATTACTTTTTCAATATTTCAAACAACACATTTTCAAACATGTCCTTCGCATCTTTCAATTTTATAGCTATTAGTAAGAAGTTTCGAGCCTGTATAGGTTCATATATGGGTCTAACACAGTATTGGCAACTACACGCACCGGAAGAGTCTAGGGATATTACAATCTTATAAAGCCATCGTCAGTAATTTTATTATTTGCATTTCTGATATAATAAAATTAAAATAAACAAATAGTTTACAAGACGTATTGGAAATAAAAATGCGAAATTTACCGAATTTTTCAAATTTACCTTGATTTTTATTGAACTCAAAAAAATACACACATTTTTTTTATTCTAAATTCTAAAAATTCTAAAAAAAACCAAACCATTTTTACTTAATAAAGGGTATGGCCTCCTGTACTGTTAACTACAGCCCTACATCGTCTCTCCATGCTCCTTATCAGGTTGTCGATCTCTTCTTGAGGTACAGCCTGCCACGCTGCATTCACGGCCCGAACCAGATCCCTACGAGTTTCACGAGGCATACCCATTCTCAAAATTCTTCTTTGGACCGCGTCCCATACGTGCTCGATGGGGTTGAGGTCAGGAGATTGTGCCGGCCAGGGTAAGATGTTTAATTGAAGAGTATTGATAAACTCACTTAACACTCTGGCTGTATGAGGCCGTGCATTGTCATGCATGAGAATGAAGTTTCTCCCAAAATCATTGGCATATGGTAACACGACAGACTCAAGAATTAAATCACGATATGTGATTCCTGTTAGAAACCTTTCAAGAAAAACGAGATCGGTTTTTCGGCTTAACTGACCATAACTGTTCCACCTTGATAAGGGTGCACTTCCTGAACATGATCCAACCGAATAAGATTTCCCGGTTCTCTCCATACCCTAAGCCTTCTCGAATCCGGATGAATTCCAAAAGCGTGACTCATCCGTGAAGAGTACATTCGCCCATTGTTCATTCGACCACTGAACATGATCTTGAGCCCACAAATATCGTACCTCTCGATTTCCTCTCGTTAAGAGTTGAGCTCTCCAGGGGCGTCTGCTTCTTAAGTTGACCTCTCTTAATCTATTGCGAACAGTGTCAGGACTAACGGTTACATTATGTGTTTCCTGGAGAATTAAACTAAGCTCTGGTGCTGTAAGAGTCGGTCGGCGTCGAGCATTTAATTGTAAAAATTGATCTTGCTGAGGGGTAGTAATGCGATGTCGCCCTGTGTGCCTTTCAGCAACAACACCACTTTCACGGTACCGTGCACTTAATCGCGATATTACACTTTGCGTTGTATTTAATGCTCTAGCTACGTCGATTTGGCGCATTCCAGCTTCGAGCATACCCATGGCCCTTAGCATTTCGTCTCTGTTAAGATGTCTACGCTCCAAAATGTCGTTTAATACTAAACAGAGTTATTTGAATGAATTCTGGCCAGTTATCATAAAAACATAGCCAGTACAGGTTAAATTCGAACAATTGATGCTAGGTGCTCTTTATACATTTGACAAAAAATGCACAAACACTTTTGCAAATATCCCAAATTTAGAAATAACTAGTGTGACTACTTCGTTTCAATTGAAGTAGAAAGAATCGGCCTACAAATATGTGGTTGTTTATTCAAAACATTTATTTTTAACTTTAATAAAATGATATCCCTAGATTTTTCCGGTGTGTGTATTTCAATCATTTTAGATCGCACCATACGAAAAAAATACATATTAAAAATTTTCTGCATACCACTAATTAAGATGAGCCCAAACAGTCGCATCAGCTAGAATCCACGCATAATTTCAGCCGTTGCCGCAAGAAAGAGTTATCAAGCCAGGAGCGTCGACTTAAGGGGGGGGCAGGGGGGCCAAGAGGGGTCCCCCAGCTATAAAGTCTTCAGCAGGCGGCTTGCGCGCAGTTATTGAACGTTACAGTGACCTACACCATGAAGAGCTTCGCGTGCGTTTTGGTGATCAGTGCCCTGTGCCTAAATGGTATGTACCTTGTGATCTGAGGGTGCCGTGATACTTGTGTGACCAGTGATATTTCTTAGTGATTGATTATGGGTTAAAAAGAGAAAATGTGTTCGGAGTAAGCTGCATTCAGAACCGATTCTAAATTGGTGGTTTCGATTAGCGTAGAAGTTGAAAGAACGTGAAAATTAGTGGTGGAAAAGGTTTTTCCACTAATTATACTTCCAATTTTGCAAATAATGTCATTTTTGGCCGTCAAGAGAAATAATTGTGGTTGGCAAGAAAAAAGTTTACTGTTTTTTTTTGTAAAATCTAATTATTAGGCTTTCTCTATGGATACAACTGACTACCGCAAGCTATTAAATTTAATTGTATTTTTTAGACATTGTGAATGATCGTAAACTATTCAGTGTAAAGTATAATTGAAACCCCTAATTTGTTTCACTAATTTCGTGGTTCTGAATGAAGCATTATAGTCGATTTTCTTTTGATGCAAAAATGTAAAATGCCGCTGCTGCTTGTTCTAAATTTCAAATTTCACTTTCTACAAAGATTGCTGCTGTGTGCCGTGCTGCTTCTCGAACATATGTCGTTGACCGTATGCCTGATTATATACAGGGTGATGTTGCTTGAACAATCATACACCGAAAAATATAACGCTTGATTTAAATATATAATTGTAGAGAGTTCAATATAATTTAATACCTACTGCATTAAAATTTTCTAAAACTTTGAAAAATAAATTTGCATTCTTTTTACCATTTTTTAAGTACTTATTTAGTACTCTTTAATTTTCTTAAATAATGTTTGTTTTTTAATCTTATCTTTAAATAACAAAGTTACTTATATTTTTTCAACGATTCTTATTTTTTATTTTGAATTTTTACATTTATTTTTCTGGAAAAGAATACTGAAATGATACCGTCTGATAAAAAAAACGGCGTTAAAGACGGCTGGAGTATGACATGGAGAGGCCAATCTGTAGATGTCAAAAATAAACACTAATTATAGAAAAATTAAAAATGGATAACCGTTTCTGGATATAAAATATATTTCCGAACAAAAAAAATAGTTTTTTTTTCGATAAAAAAATTAAGTATAAGTGTCAAAAAAGTGTACGGGCCAAATAATGACGTCTAGGGCTTGACCTCGCCAAAATTATTATTGATTGTCATTTCTCAGCTGTCTTTGACTTCGTGTTTTTTTTGATCGTATGGTACTTATCTAAAAAATAAAAAAAAAATTTTTTTAAATGCTATTAATTGTTAAAAATTAATTTATTTTTAAAAAATTTTGAGCGCCAACGGTTTTTTTCCTGTATTTGCATTCCTTCCAACCATAGTAATGTCAGAGATTAATAAATTACACCGTGGGGGAAAATTTGCGGAGAACTGGCAGTTCTAAACAGTTTTCTAAAATATACAGGAAAATTTAAAACAAAATCGTACGATTTTATTCCTAGGGTTGAAATATACCACTCGTAATACAAAACAAAAACTCGTAATACAAAATTAAAGTGTCAAAACGAATGACAATGTCAGGAAATAAATAAATAAATGTGTCAACTTGACGTTTTTTTTTACAGCAGAACTACCACCTGAATCACCAGCGGGAAATTTAAATTCTAGTTAGTCAGCCCGGCGACGACTATATTGCCATGGTTGGCAACATTGAATTTAAAAACAACGCCCTCGATTACCTAACTAAAAGTTTAATTGGTACCAAATATATATACATATACCGGGTGTTGCATCGTCGAGCGGGACATAGGAAATCCCATGTAAATTTTAATGGGGTCAATTATTGGCTTCTCTAATTATTTTAGAGAATAATTCTATTTAAGTTTATCGAAGAGCACTAAAACCCACATTCAAAAGAATGACATTAGATATTTTTGATTAGCCCGTTTACGAGTTATCGCCGATTTCTTTTTAAATATTTCTTCTTTCTTATGGCCCTGTATTTACTTATGAGCACCAGTCAAGGTAAAAGATAATTGTCAAATAAAGTTGTCATTTCAGAAATTTACCTATTTAGTGCTTTATTATTATTATTAAAAACTCATACATACATCGAAAATATTAGCCATGAATTACACTACCGAAGAAAACGTTATTGATGATTAAATCGTATTATCAAGGAAATAGTTATCAAAAGATGTCGGACATGTTTGCTGCTCTGTATCCGAATAGTATCCGATACCTGGAAAATCTACAATTGCAAGGAATATCCAGAGATTTGAGACCAAAGGTACCCTAATAAATAACTGCAGATGTGAAGCAAGGCAGGAACAAAGAGAAGATGCAAGAAATGATACCGACTTGAAAGTTTTATTGTGCGTGGAAGAGAACGATAGAAAGATCAGCACAAGGAAACTTGAGGATGAAATAGGAATAGATCACACTACAACGTTTCGAATTTTGAAACGACATAAATACTATTTCTTCAAATATAAAAAGCACCAAGAGCTAGGAGATGGGGACAAAATACGGCGGCAGGCGTTTTGTTTTGATATGATGGAAAGAGCAAACACGGATAGGGAATTTTTAAAAAACATATGTTTCACTGACGAATGCACGTTTACCTTAAATAATGAACCCAATGTTCAAAATTATCGATATTGGAACAAAGAAAACCAACACAGGTTTGTCGAAACAAGGACGCAATATCCACAGAAAGTAAATGTTTGGGCAGGGATATTCGGACACAATATTATCGGGCCATTATTTCTTACGCGAAATTTAAATGCAGAATATTATTTGGAACTACTCGAAAATCATATTTTACCTGCCTTACATGATGCCGCTAGGGAAAATCAGGAAGTTTGGTATCAAATGGATGACTGCCCGGCACATAGTACCCTGGCTGTTCGGGAATATTTAGACAATAGTTTTAACGGAAACGTTACTGGCCTAAATCATACAGTAAATTGGCCAGCAAGGTTTCCTAATATTTCGCTATAGATTTCTTTCTCTGGGGCCATTTAAAAAACAGGATATACAAGGATAAAAAATATCTAAATCTAGACGAGTTAAAAAATGCTATTTCTGCCGAATGCAATAGAATTTCAGTTTACCAACTAGCGAATGTAAGAAGAGAACTTTATGATTGCCTGGGGTTATTGTCTAGCAGTCGATGGAGGAATATTTGAACATCTTCTTAAATCCAAAAGTTCTAACAATTTAATAGTACCTAAATTAATTAGTTATTGAATATTGTAATAATACTATAATTATCCTTGTAATTGATTACTTTATTTTACTTTAATTCATATTAATTTGTATTTATAAATACATCTTTAAGATTTCCGATGTAGGAATGAGTTTTCAATAATAATAAAGCACTAAATAGGTAACTTTCTGAAATTACAACTTCATTTGACAGTTATCTTTTACCTTGACTGGTGCTCATAAGTAAATACAGGGCCATAAGAAAGGCGAAATATTTAAAAAGAAATCGGCGATAACTCGTAAACGAGCTAATCAAAAATATCTAAAGTTATTCTTTTGAATGTGGGTTTTAGTGCTCTTCAATAAACCTAAATAGAATTATTCTCTAAAATAATTAGGAAAGTCAATAACTGACCCTATTAAAATTTACATGGAATTTGCTATGTCCCGTCCGACGATGCAACACCCAGTATAAAGTTTATTATTAATGCATATTCAGATTCGTAGGTAACGACATTTAAACAAGATTTATTTCAAAAAATAATATTGGATATAACTGACCTTGGTAAATACAAGTCAAGAAAGTTCTCAGTACCAATTAATGCTATTCTTAGTCTCTCCTATAGAGAGTCGTTCTTGAATAATGACAAAGCGTTTATTAATATTCTCTAATAAATAATTTACATAACTTCGAAATGTTTAGGTAACGACTGTGGGTTGGTACTGAGTGGGTTAGTCGTACCTGAGCATGTTCCGCATATTTTACAACATACGAGTACGACCGGGAGATAATTTGCAATCTTGAAATTGTTGCTGAAAGTAAAAGTTACATACTTTTCTTTATTTTAAATCGTTAGCAGTGGATATTACGAGTACATATTACAGTGTTGCCACCTGGAATAAATTCGATAATAAATAAACGGGAGGGTTTTCGAAAAAACCCTCGGACACGTCGATTAGTATTTTTTATTGTGCATTTTTTGCAATAAAAACTTTTTGTACAGAGTGTGTCATGAAAGAGTTACAAATACCAACTTGCTTATTTTAAATATAATACCCTGTGTATTATTCAATTTTTGGATTCTTCAGAAAATTCTAGACATATTTTATGTACAATATCCTATCTTCAAGTTTTTTCGAAATATTTAAGTCTTTGGCAAATTATTGATGACTCACTGTTTTTTTTTCTTAGTAACCGTTTCACTAATGCAGTTTTACTGATTCAGTGATCATTTCCAATTATGGTGTAGCTTCCCTTACATATTTAGATGATCTTCCTTTAATTGGGCCCATTGTTGGTCTATTGTATATGCGGGTCTAAGTTATCCCTGCTATGTTCCTAATATCATAGTTCCATCTCAGGATAGATCTCATTCTTCTAGGTCTCTTGATTCCTCCTGGATACCATGCTGTAATTTTTGTGGTTCATCTGTTGTCCGTCCTTCTTGACAGGTGTCCTGCTCATTGACACTTGAGGGATTTGATTCTGTGGATGACATCTGTTACCTGGGGACAGTCAAACATTCTTCTTTTTAGAACCTCTTTTAGATAGCGAAGTGGTACAAAATAGCTTAATAGCTGTAAAATCTCATCGCAACTTTATTAGAATATTTCTCTCTTTATGACCTTTAAGTGCTGCTAAGGAGGCTTGTTGATGTAAATAATAATACATTATTTACATCAACAAGTAATATCTAGATAAAATCTCATCGCAACTTTATTAGAATATTTCTCTCTTTATGACCTTTAAGTGCTGTTAAGGAGGATTGTTGATGTAAATAATAACTGTTTATATACACACAACCAAACTATATGGAATCACTCTTTATTTTTGACTAAATTCCATGCAAG